CATTATACTTTTCTGTAGTAACTTATTGGTCTATTGAAATCAAATTAGTTAACATTGTACTTTTCTGTAGTAACTTATTGGTGTATTGAAATCAAATTAGATAACAGTGTACTTTTCTGTAGTACCTTATTGGTCTATTGAAATGAAATTAGTTAACATTGTACTTTTCTGTTCCTTATTAGTATATTGAAATGAAATTAGTTTAGATGTATGTACCTTATTGGTCTATTGAAATGAAATCAGTTAACATTGTACTTTTCTGTAGTAGCTTATTGGTCTATTAAAATTAAATTAGTTAACATTGTACTTTTCTGTTCCTTATTAGTATATTGAAATGAAATTAGTTTAGATGTATGTACCTTATTGGTCTATTGAAATGAAATCAGTTAACATTGTACTTTTCTGTAGTAGCTTATTGGTCTATTGAAATTAAATTAGTTAACATTGTACTTTTCCGTAATAACTTATTGGTCTATTGAAATGAAATTAGTTTACATTGTACCTTTCTGTACATTATTCGTCTATTGAAATGAAATTAGTTTACATTTATGTACTTTAATGAACTAATGAAATGAATTAAGTTTACATTGTACTTTTCTGTAGTACCTTATTGGTCTATTAAAATTAAATTAGTTAACATTGTACTTTTCTGTAGTAACTTATTGGTCTATTGAAATGAAATTAGTTTACATTTATGTATTTTATTGAACTAATGAAATGAATTAAGTTTACATTGTACTTTTCTGTACTTTGTTAAGCTTTTGAAATGAAATGGAATTTAAATCCTACTTTTCTGTTCCGTTATTTTTCTGTACTTTGTTGAGCTAATGAAATGAAATAGATTATATATACTACTTTTCTTAACCTTATTGGGGAATGGAAATGAAATGGATTCTTTATCCTACTTTTCTGTACTTCACTGAGCAATTGAAATGAAATGGATTTTTTATCCTACTTTTCTGTTCTGTTATATTTCTGTACTTAATTGAGCTAATGAAATGAAACGTTTATGCTATCCCACTATGTTCTAATGAAAAAAAGTTCTATGTCCAACTCTTCTGTACTTTTTAAAATTTAACAACCTGCTGTTATATACATAAGTGATCCTATGGTACACTGTACAATATGTCCCTCATTGCGCACTGCGTATTCATTGTTGTCAATCATCGTTGGTGCTATTTCAATTCACAGGACGTGCAACTCTTTTCTGAAATATCCAGGTCGAAAAAAATCCAATGAAAACA